TGCGCAAACAGTAGCTGTGGATGTGGCGCCGTCCTTGCATGAGCATGAGGAGGCGAACATCATGTCAACATTGACCAATCGCCGCCCTCAGATCACGGGGATATTCGCAAATGAAAGCTTGTATCCATTCGATGCGCCACGCCTATCTGCATGTGCCGTCAGAGTCGCTTGATGTCCAGCCCATTTCGCGTCAAATTTCAGATTGGGTCCCGTCATTTTCACGATGGCCCCGTCAGGCCAACCCGAGACCCCCGAACCCGAGTCTTACGTCTCCCCGCTTTCGATGCCAGCCAGCATAGGCCAAACAAGCTTGAGAAGCAGGAACAGCCGCCTGCTTGTCCATTTCCCTGCCCCCCCTTGGTGCCTTGCTGGAGGGCTTCTCCAGGCGTCTTCGGGAGGGCTCCCGAGACCTCCGAGGCCATCTTGGCATCTTGGACACATCTTGAGGCCTCTGGGACGTCTTTGAACCCCCACTGGGCCTGTCCTGGTGCAACTTGCAGCCTCCATGGGAGGTGCTGGGAGCGTGAACAGCGCCAGGGGGCAAAACGCATTCCATATGCCTTATTAATCGACCACCCCCTTTAAAACCAGACCCCCTCGAAATGCGACCTAATATTCCGGACCCCCCTCTTCGACAGGACGCCTTAATATTCCGGACCCCCTCAGCACAATAACATCATCGGCGCGGGCACGCCAGTGGATGTGTTAACACCGATGCGGTTCTCAGCATGCCCTGCCAGAGGATTTATGAACACCCAGGCGGTTGCATTAGAAGCGCAATCCATTCCTCACCATTGCGGGCACACCATAGGATTTATTAACACCGAGGTCAGACGCAACGTATTCCTCAAGCTCCGCGGAGGGCCTCTTGCAGCATACCACGCCAGAGGATTTATTAACACCCAGGCGGTTGCATTAGAAGCGCAACTTATTCCTCACCACTGCGGGTACACCATTGCGTTCTCGCTGGAGGTGCGAGCCATAAGATCAGGCCGTCGCCGTCGCGATGACATCGCCATTACATTGCTATCACCGTCATGAGATAAGGTGTTACCGCGGCCCGTTGGTTGTTACTGCGGCCCGGTGGGTGTTAGTATGGCCAGGGGTCCTCCGGAGTGTATTAATTATCGAGTACGGTGAAGAGGGGGGGGGAGGTCCAAAAAGGCTCCGCACCCCCCCCCTTCACCGAAGAGCCTCTCGGAAGAGCTTCTGGTGCTCTCCGAAGAGCCTCTTGGAGCCGCCGAAGACCTTCTTGCAGCCGCCTAGGAGCCTCTTGGGCTCTCCGAAGAGCCCCGTGGGGCCTCCGCAGAGCCTCTTGGGGCATCCGAAGCGCTTCTTGGGCTCTCGGAAGAGCCTCTTGGGCTCTCCGGACTACGACTGCTACTACTACTACTACTACTACTACTACTACTACTACTACTACTACTACTACTACTACTACTACTACTACTACTACTACTACTACTACTACTACTACTACTACTACTACTACTACTACTACTACTACTACTACTACTACTACTACTACTACTACTACTACTACTACTACTACTACTACTACTACTACTACTACTACTACTACTACTACTACTACTACTACTACTACTACTACTACTACTACTACTACTACTACTACTACTACTACTACTACTACTACTACTACTACTACTACTACTACTACTACTACTACTACTACTACTACTACTACTACTACTACTACTACTACTACTACTACTACTACTACTACTACTACTACTACTACTACTACTACTACTACGACTACGACTACTACTACTACTACTACTACTACTACTACTACTACGACTACTACTACTACTACTACTACTACTACTACTACTACTACTACTACTACTACTACTACTACTACTACTACTACTACTACTACTACTACTACTACTACTACTACTACTACTACTACTCGTCGTCGTCGTCGTCGTCGTCGTCGTCGTCGTCGTCGTCGTCGTCGTCGTCGTTGTCCCTAGCGCCCTAGGGCTAGCACTCCCTAGCGCCAGTACTTCCTAGGGCTAGCACTCCCTAGCGCCACTACTTCCTAGCACTCCCTCGGACTAGCACTCCCTAGGACTAGTATTCCCTAGGGCTGGTACTCCGTAGTGCGAGTACTCCCTAGGACGAATACTCCCTTGGACGAATACGCCCTTGGGGTAGTAATTCCTAGGACTGGTACTCCCTGGGGCTAGCACTCCCTGCGGCTAGTACTCCGTAGGGACTAGTACTCCCTATGAATGATAGTACCTAACACCAACACTACAGCACCATAGTACTACCACACTACAGCACTACTACCACAATGCCAGTACCACAACACCACAACACCGCTACCACAACACCACAACACCGCTACCACAATACCACAACCACAACACCACAACAGCGCTACCACAACACCACTACCACAGCACCACTGCCACTACCATAACACTACTACCTACTAGCAACTCAACCTTGCCAACACCACACCACTAACACAACATTACCAACACCACACCACTAACACAGCACACCACTACCAACACCCCACCACTAACACAGCATACAGCACAACCCCCCACTACCAACACCACACCACTAACACAACATTACCAACACCACACCACACCACGAACACAGCACAGCGACCACCACACCACTAACACAGCGCTACTACCACGTTGGTTCCAGATGGGAGTTACTGTGGCCACTTTTGCCTGCGCGGGAGTGCATTCCCTTAAGGGTTGCGAATCTTCCAGATCTAACATGAGATACCTTTACATATTACTTTTCATTGAGCGGCCTGCGCGGGCCACAGTAACTCCCATCCCGCCGCGCGACGGGCCACACTAACACCCAACGGGCCACACTAACACCCAACGGGCCACAGTAACAACCGGTCGCCGGCGTTGCTGATGCCAGTGATGATAATGCGGATAAGGATGATGATGATGATGATGATGATGATGATGATGATGATGATGATGATGATGATGATGATGATGATGATGATGATCACCATCATGATCATGATGATGATATGATGATGATCACCATCATGATCATGATGATGATGAGGATGATGATGTTGACGATGACGATGACGATGGTGATGGTGATGGTGATGGTGATGGTGATGACGATGATAATGGTGGTGATGATCATGATGCTGATCTGCATCCAAAGCGGCGAGTTCCAGAAGGCTTTTCGTAATCATAATGCTGATGCTCACGTGGCTGATAACAATTTTGCTGATCAAAGGGCTGAACAACGATATCCAAAAGGCGTCTTAACAAACCGGACCCCCCTCGGCTCCAATTCACAGAAGGCGCCCTAATAAACCGGACGCCCCCGTTACGAAAAAGGCGCCTTCAAAAAATTGGAGCCGGGGGACGATGAGTAAGGCATATGGAGTAGGTTGGGTGTTGGGTGGCGTTCCACAAGCGGTGTCGCCAGAGGTGGGAGGGGGACTGCAGACCCACTGCCAGGCTGCTTACAGGCACTCGAGTACGCCCTGGCATGCCGAGGGCGCGGGGAAGGGTCCAATCTCGAGGATGCTCTTGCTGTGTTCCTCGGGAGGGGTGGAGGGGAGGCTGAGGGAGCGGCGTGCTTCCGGAAACCGAATTCTGCTTCAAATAGTTATATGGTGTATTATTGAAAGGGCGGACTCGAGTCCCCCAACACACGCGACTCTCTCGGCTAACTTGCTGTCGTGCTGCTGCCTGCCAGCGCCCCCCGGTTGAGCTTCGAACGCGGCGTGCGATCGCTACCGCTGTGTCTCGTGGGCGGAAATATATCCGTAACGGCGGCCTCGCGGGCCGGGCCCTTGGGCCACGTGCCCGCCGATGAGGGGCGTTGTTTTGCTGATGCCCCGCGCGGAACGTATCGGTGCGAACGCGTGTCCGCCGGATCGCGGGGCTTCTGAGCAGCCCCCCGCCGTCTGAGAAGGCTTTCTCCTGCTCACTCCCCCCCCCTGCTCGCCGCCGATATTCATTTGTGTGTCCCAAAGCCCCTTCAAAAGATGCCGCCCTGCTCCACGGGCGGAGTTCGGAAGACGAGTGAAAGATGGTCAGAACAATGTTCCACGGCAGCCGAACGAGCACGAGCACTCGTCACCAGAAGACTATTTGATCACCATTCTTGCCAGAAATTGGAGCGTATACATGACCAGTGACGCGCCGCTTTTCAATCCCAGGGTTTTTCTAGGGTCGGGGACGACGTCGGGGTGGTGCAGTGTATACTTTCCTCCCTGTCTTCGGGGGGAGGAGCGAAACATATAATTACACACCAAGACTCCGCATATGCCAGAATCCGCTTTTTGTGCCCATGCCAGAGCAGTGCCAGAGAGAGCGTCGGTGAATAGAGCTCGGCTCCCGACCTTGAACACTCCTCCTGCAGAGGGTCGCGCCCTATTCTCAGGAGGGGGAACAACACACAGACACAAGTCATCGTCGATCCCTTGGAACATCTGGGAAATTATGGGAGGGGGGGAAGACGAAAACCCAAAACATGAGGGACAAGATGGGGAATGTTTATCTGCGTGTATTTATTTGTGTCGGCCACCCCAGCCCCTCCGTGCCGCCACAGCGCGGCGTGATCCACGCCCTTGCGCGCTGTTCGGTACGGTCAGAGCTTGGCGCCACTTGTGCGACTGCTCGTTCCGTCCGTTTTCTAGTTTGGTGCCTGCGTTCCCCGATTTCGGGCCGCCTGCGTCCTAATGAGGGTCATTGTGTCCCTGGCACGTGCACCCGCTGCCGCGGCCTATGCGACCCAGCAGCTGATTATCTCGCCCTGTGCCCCAGCCGAGTCCGTCCCGCTTCCTGGATCTGTCCTTGGAGCCGCCAATCAAAAACACACATATATATATATATATATATATATATATATATATATTATCTGTATTTATTTATTTGTGTGTCCTGGGGCCCCTTTTTCAGCACTCCTGCAGAGGGGCGCGCCCCACGTGGCCCCGCCACCCCCTGCGCCGCGAGGACGACGCCGCCGCGGCCACGCGCCGCCTCGTCCCGGCCGCGGGGCGGGGGCCGCGGGCTCGCCTGGTGCTCTGCGCGAGCGAAACGGGCACGGAAAGCGTGGTCGGGGGCGGAAAAGAGGGGGGGGATGACTTAGGGGGGGGGGATATCATGGCGCGGGCCAACATATTTCTTCAGATTTCCTGGCGCTTGTTCTCATTTCATTACGTCCCTGGCCCCCCCGCTGGGCCGCGCACGTGCCGCTGGTCATGATTTGTACCCCCCCCCTCTTGGACACCCCTATTTTGGCCGCTCCCGAGAAAGCATGGGCGCAGTGCCCAGCAGCGGATCTGGTTCGTTTTGAACAGGACTCGCTGTCCGCGCCGCCGCGGCCCGTGCCCACTCGAGACAGGAGGCCGCCTGCCCAACAGCGGCCGCCGCTGGTTTGGGACAGCACTCGCTGTTGGGCATTGTGCCCATTCTTTCCGTACCCACTTCGGGCGTCCACAGGTGCCTTGGAGGCTGCTGCTGAGCGTCGTCGTGGTGCTCGGCGTGCTGGCGACCGCGCTGGGCGCGCCCCCCGCCCCTCGCTCCGAGGAGGGTGGCGTCGCTCGCTGTCCCAGCGAGAACCATCGAGGACCATCCTGGACCATCGAGCAAAAAAAACGCACGAAACCGACACATGCATTGGAAATGGACGTCCGAGCGACGGCAAAACGAGGTTCACATGCGAACCTTGCCCCTGCCCCCCACCCTCCCCCTCAGAGATTGTGGGGGTAGGGGTGGGGTTCGCATGCGGCCCCGCAGCTTTGGAAGGCGATCCACGGCTATTGGTTCTGGAGTTCAACAGCCCGAGAGGATTGTCTTGTTTTGGAGTCCAAGAAACCAGGACTGGAACTCAAAACCCAGTTTTTTGAAGTCACAACCCGCTCCTCGAACTCAAACAGTTTTTTGAGCCAAAAACCAGAGGCAGATGTCCAACTATTTTCCATATGCCTAGCACATGTTTGAAACATGCTCTTAGGTGCTAACACATGTTTCAAACATGTTTCGAGCATGTAGAAGGCATTGCACAGACATGTAGGAGACAATGGTGATGGTGATTGTGTTCACTCACAGCCGGGGCTCCCGCCTGAAACCTCGTCAGGATGAGTGCGTGAGTGTGTGAGGAAGTGTGTGTGCTTGTGATAATGACGATGTTGACGATGGCGTCTCGCAGCCAAGGCTCCTCCCTGAGACCTCGCCACGATGAGTGTGGGAGTGTGCGAGTAAGTGTGTGAGTCTGTGATAATGACGAAGTTGACGATTGTGTTGTGATGATGATGATGATGATGATGATGATGATGATGATGATGATGATGATGATGATGATGATGATGAGTATGATGATGATGTTGATGATGATGATGATGATGATGATGATGATGAGCGATGGATAGTAGTTGTGAGTGAATGAGTGAGTTGGGGAATGAACGTGTGTGTGTGTGTGCGAGTGTGTATGTGATGATGATGCGGTGATGAGGTTGATGTGAGCGTGTGAGTGTATGAGTGATCAGGGAGGGGGTGTTCCTGTTCCTGCGCGGGGTGTCCAGAGAAAACAAGAACCCCACTTTGGATGTCGGGAGTACTAGAACAGTCAGACTGTCCATTTTCATAGCGTCCACAAAAGAAAAGGCACCCATACCGCTACCCTTCGCCAGTTTTCTTTCTGTTGGCCCTCGTCTTCACCGCCGGATCCGCCTCGAGATCCTGGTCAGAACGCACCCCAGGAGAGGTCCGGAGGGCAGCGGTATCGGTACCTCTGGGTTTCCACACTCGCCGCCCGCTCCAGGGCCCAGTTCGATCCGATCGATCCTATTCGACATCTCGAAGAAGATAAGACGGCATTAACACAAACTTGTGGCTCTCCGCGCGGATTGCTTGGATCCGCGCCTGGGGCGGAAATCCGCAGATCCAGCGCAGATTCAAGAAATCCGCAGATCAGCGCCGGAGTTGGACTTCCAGCGCAGGTCCAAGAAATCCGCGCGGAGCGTCAAAAGTTTATGTTTATGTCGTTTTGTCTTCTTCTGGCCTCTCCGCCCGTTCCAGGGTCCATTTCGATTCGATCGATCCCATTCGATATCGGTTTCTGCCGCAACGGTCCGGTTCGATCCCAAGATGCCGACGATACGATGCGGCCCGATGTTTGCATGGCGTGGTGGCGCCGTCTGGCGCAGCCGATCCGATACGATACGAGTTCGATTCCGTGCCGATGCAGTCCGATCCGATGCAGCCCGACCTGGTGGGGGGGCTGGGGGGGATCCTATTCGACATCTCGAAGAAGATAAGACGGCATTAACACAAACTTGTGGCTCTCCGCGCGGATTGCTTGGATCCGCGCCTGGGGCGGAAATCCGCAGATCCAGCGCAGATTCAAGAAATCCGCAGATCAGCGCCTGAGTCGGACTTCCAGCGCAGGTCCAAGAAATCCGCGCAGAGCGTCAAAAGTTTATGTTTATGTCGTTTTGTCTTCTTCTGTCCTCTCCGCCCGTTCCAGGGTCCATTTCGATTCGATCGATCCCATTCGATATCGGTTTCTGCCGCAACGGTCCGGTTCGATCCCAAGATGCCGACGATACGATGCGGCCCGATGTTTGCATGGCGTGGTGGCGCCGTCTGGCGCAGCCGGTCCGATACGATACGAGTTCGATTCCGTGCCGATGCAGTCCGATCCGATGCAGCCCGACCTGGTGGGGGGGCTGGGGGGGGCCAACCTGGTTCCGGCCTGCAGGAAGGGGGGGCAGGTTCGAGAGTTTCGGTTGGAGAAGGTGTTTGTTTGCCTTTGTTCGGTCTCTGGGTTCCTAAAATTGATCTGGGGTCGGAGACCCTTCAGATGGCTCCAAGACGGCCCACGAGGCCCCGAAGAGGGCCCCAAGACGACCCCGGAGGCGCCCTTGACAACCCAAGTGCGCCCCAAGAGCGCCCCAAGAGGGCGCCCAGAGGGGTCCTGAGGCGGCCCTGACCCGCTCTGGAACAGGCCACGACAGGCTAAGGAAGTACCGAGAGGGCCCAAGACGCTCCCAAGAGGCCCCGAAGACGCCCAAGCTGCCCTCCAGACGGCCGACGAGGACTCCAACACGCTCCAGGACGGACTCAAGAGGCTCGGCAATGTGAGGCAAGATTTACCAATTTGTTCAATGCTGTTTGAAGGATTTTGGCGTTCTCGCTTTTCCCGCGTCCCAGCGCTCCCTCACGGCCTCGGAGACGCTTTATATTGCTCCAAGACGGCCCACGAGGCCCTGAAGAGGGCCCCAAGACGGCCCAGGCGGCGCTCCAGACAGCCCAAGTGTGCCCCAAGAGCGCCCCAAGAGGGCGCCCAGAGGGGTCCCGAGGCGGCCCAGGCCTGCCACGAAGCAGGCCACGACAGGCTAAGGAAGTACCGAGCGAGCCCAAGACGCTCCCAAGAGGCCCCGAAAACGCCCAAGCTGCCTTCAAGACGGCCGACGAGGACTCCAACACGCTCCTCGACGGACTCGAGAGGCTCCCCTAGAGGGCCCTGGGAGGCAAAATTGATAAACTGTCCGGTGGTTTCCGAAGGATTTTGGCATTCTCGCTTTCCCCGCTTCGCAGCGCTTCCTCACGGCCTCGGAGGCCCTTCAGATCGCTCCAAGACGGCCTACGAGGTCCCGATGAGGGCCCCAAGACGGCCCAGGAGGCTCCCGCGACAGCCAAGTGTGCCCCAAGAGCTGCTCCCCAAGAGGGGCCCAGAGGGGGACCGCCAACCAATATTTCGAGGTCTGACCCTAGAGGCTTCCAGTATGCCCCCGGAGGCCACCAAGAGGCTCCCACGACGCCCGAGAGCCCTCCAGGAAGCTCCAAGAGACCCCCAAGGGGCCCCCAGGGAACCCCCAAGGAACCCCCGTGCAGGAACAAATAGCAACAGATTGAACCCGGGAGGGGTCCAGGGACCAATTTTGAACGGTTTTGCCCGTATCTCCTTGTCTTGACCGTCTCACCGAGCACGTTCTATTACTCGCAAAGTGCCTACTCGCAAAAGTCTGAAAAATTATCCCGGCAAAGCAACCTAACAGCGATGTGTAGGAGCATATCTGGAAGCATTCCCCTTAAGATTCAAATGAGAACCCAGTTGTAGAATTCTGCTGTTCTCGCAGTCGTAGTCGCATTCGCGATGACAGTCGCAGCGGCAACGGCAGTCGCAGTCACAGCCTCAGCCTCAGCCTCAGCCCTCAGCCTCAGCCTGCCTGCAGCCTCAGCCTCAGCCTGCTTCAGCCTCAGCCTCAGTCTGCCTTCAGCCTCGGCCTCAGCCTCAGCCTGCCTCAGCCTCAGCCTGCATCAGCCTCAGCCTCAGCCTCAGCCTGCCTCAGCATCAGCCTGCCTCAGCCTCAGCCTCAGCCTGCCTCAGCCTCAGCCTCAGCCTGCTTCAGCCTCAGCCTCAGTCTGCCGTCAGCCTCGGCCTCAGCCTCAGCCTGCCTCAGCCTCAGCCTGCATCAGCCTCAGCCTCAGCCTCAGCCTGCATCAGCATCAGCCTGCCTCAGCCTCAGCCTCAGCCTGCCTCAGCCTCAGCCTCAGCCTGCTTCAGCCTCAGCCTCAGTCTGCCCGCAGCCTCGGCCTCAGCCTCAGCCTGCCTCAGCCTGAGCCTGCCTCAGCCTCAGCCTCAGCCTCAGCCTCAGCCTACCTCAGCCTCAGCCTGCCTCAGCCTCAGCCTCAGCCTGCCTCAGCCTCAGCCTCAGCCTCAGCCTTGCTTCAGCCTCAGCCTCAGTCTGCCTTCAGCCTCGGCCTCAGCCTCAGCCTGCCTCAGCCTCAGCCTGCATCAGCCTCAGCCTCAGCCTCAGCCTGCCTCAGCATCAGCCTGCCTCAGCCTCAGCCTCAGCCTGCCTCAGCCTCAGCCTGCAGCCTCAGCCTCAGCCTGCTTCAGCCTCAGCCTCAGTCTGCCTTCAGCCTCGGCCTCAGCCTCAGCCTGCCTCAGCCTCAGCCTGCATCAGCCTCAGCCTCAGCCTCAGCCTGCCTTAGCATCAGCCTGCCTCAGCCTCAGCCTCAGCCTGCCTCAGCCTCAGCCTCAGCCTGCTTCAGCCTCAGCCTCGGTCTGCCTTCAGCCTCGGCCTCAGCCTCAGCCTGCCAGCCTCAGCCTGCAGCCTCAGCCTCAGCCTCAGCCTGCCTCAGCCTCAGCCTGCCTCAGCCTCAGCCTCAGCCTCAGCCTGCAGCCTCAGCCTCAGCCTCAGCCTCAGCCTGCCTCAGCCTCAGCCTCAGCCTCCTCAGCCTCAGCCTCAGCTCAGCCTCCTCAGCCTCAGCCTCAGTCTGCCTTCAGCCTCGGCCTCAGCCTCAGCCTGCCTCAGCCTCAGCCTGCATCAGCCTCAGCCTCAGCCTCAGCCTGCCTCAGCATCAGCCTGCCTCAGCCTCAGCCTGCCTCTGCCTCAGCCTCAGCCTGCTTCAGCCTCAGCCTCAGTCTGCCTTCAGCCTCGGCCTCAGCCTCAGCCTGCCTCAGCCTCAGCCTGCAGCCTCAGCCTCAGCCTCAGCCTCAGCCTCAGCCTCAGCATCAGCCTGCCTCAGCCTCAGCCTCAGCCTGCCTCAGCC